TTTTGACAGTACCAAGTTAATCATCAAAAAGCAAGACCATGATTGAATAAAGTCCTCTAGTCAGACATAGGAAGTACAACAGGTACTCACTGTCTGAAACAGCTTAATGGCAGTCTAAACTTCTGTTAAATTAATTATGCCATCATCATCAAATATACTTAAATCAAAATACTTTAAAAACAGTTTTGCACAGACAATGTGAAAAGAAGCTCTGTTTCTTTAATTCCCTCTCCCCTCCTCATCATTTTACACAGCAGACAGCCTCTTCTCTCCTTTCTTCCACCCCAGCTTTATTCCATCACAGTTCCAATTTTGGAGCAAAATTGCTCCAAATGCAAAAAATCAGTTTTAAGATGTGTAACTTCTCTGCAGACAAGGAGTTGGAGACCCATGTCAAATCCAAACTAATCCAAACTTCTGATCTATCAAATACTTCAATGCCAAAATGAGGGTAAAAATACATGACAATTTTTTTTTTTACACCTAAAGCTCCAATTAAATATTCTTAGTGATCTATTTTAATACGCTAAACCTTTCACTCCTCAGTTATATGCATCACAGCCTTCTGCAGCAATCTCTAAGCTGCAATCTGAATGCACTTAACTGCCCTCACCCTCTGAACAACAGCAGCCTGTCCTTCTCTCCAGCCCAAGAAAAGTAAGTTCATCTGTTTGTATCAGTCCCCTCTTAGTAGCATTTAGGAAGAGTTTCATTACATCACAGCATTTTCACTCGCAAACTTCACAAAATCTCTCTTATTTTGAAGGTCACAAAGAAAAACAATACCTCATGTCACACTGAAGGTATGAAACAATGAAAACAAGCAGAAGAAATGGGAGATCACCTCTTTTTCTGTAGAAGTTAGGATAATTTCTTTTCCCTCACATTATACCTCAGAGCACTGTCAAGTTTTTAAAATAACCTGTTTAGAAAAATAAAACAAATTCCTGGATCTTCAGTTTCCTCTCTTGTGGGTACAAAGGATTAGAGAGGGTTTTTTTATAAGGCATAGGGATACTTTTCATACCTCATTTCTGCTATTTCTCACACATATTTCAAATAGTACAGTAAGACAGTACCAGCAGTGTCCAGTACTGTTATACTGCTTTCAAGATTAGTAGCTTAGTTTTCATGCAGCTAATGACTGAGTCAGTTGGCATTTGCCTGAGCAGCAATGGCAGTGTGCAGCACAAACATAAGTTCTAATTTATGCAATTTACTGTGATGATTTTTCTCCAAGTATCTGAAAATGTTAAAGGTAATGGCGATTATAAAGTAATTAATGTAATCACTGCAAGACTACAGGAAAGTCACTGATCCTAAAGTATTATTGCATGTAGGCGTGACCAGTGACAAGCAGGTTGAACCCTGGATATTCATGCAGTTGTTGCCACAGCAAAAGTTGCTGTTGCACAAGGCTTCTTCCAAGAGACACAAATCTTGCACTAAGAAAAATCAAACCTAGAAAAAGACTGTACTGGAGATCTGCATCCTCTCCCTAATCCCTCCCTTAGTAATTCCTTTACTTTGATGTTGTCAGTATAACTAGTCTTTATATTCCTTGCTGACAGACAGGTTAGTTTCTGACTAAAAGATCTGTATTATCACCACTCAACTCTGTGCACTGTGCATGACTTGTGAACATCCAGGTGATTCAACTTCCTCAAGCAAAAATCATCACTACACTTTAACTGAATACACACCTAGAGTAAGTCACAGAAATAACTCAACCGTCATAGTTCAATTTAAAAAAGCTTAACAAGCTCAGAGCTCAAATAAACAATTGCAGACACTCTGCATGATGAATCTCAGCCCACAAGGTAAATACACCTGAACACTAGCTTCTGTAAGACGTACAGCAGGCAACTCTTCATCAGCTAAGCACTAGCTCAGTGGCTGCTCAGGGCTGAAAACACAAAATTGAGTTTAACCTATAAAATAGATTTGGTTTTAACAATTAACTGTAAACTGCAAATTGAAAATGTTTTGCCTTGAAGTGATCCCAAAAGGCATTATTCTAAGCTGTCAGTGATGTTATGTGGATGCAAGTGATCCCAAAAGGCATTATTCTAAGCTGTCAGTGATGTTATGTGGATGCACAACCTTTCTGGCGCCACCCTCAAAAGCGTGAAATATATGAAATCCCAAAAAAGTGGTAGAGTCAACTTACTACCTTTAAAATTTATTTATGCACAAAGTATTTACCAAAGACAAAGCAGTGAATACATTTGTCACAGAAGACAATAACTGTATCACTTTCCAGTGAATACATTTGTCACAGAAGACAATAACTGTATCACTTTCCATTTTTGTTCTGTATTTCACTTCTAACAAGAGCAACTGCTCTGACAATGCGCAGTATCAATAGAAGACAACACTGAATTTTTTCTTCTATCCCTGTTGAAAAGCTGGCTACTCAGAAATGACATAACAAAACACAGAATGGTTTGGTCTGGAAGGGACCTAAAAGATCATCTACTTTCAATCCCCTGCCATGGGCAGGGACATATTCCACTAGACAAAGTTGCTCAGAGCTCCATGCAGCCTGGCCTTGAACGCTTCCAGGGAAGGCGCATTCACAACTTCTCTGGGCAACCTGTTCCAGAGCTTCATCACCCTCGAGATAAAGAATTTTTTGCTAATATCTCATTAAATCTACTCTCTTTCAGTTTAAAGTAATTTCCCCTTGTCCCCTTCCTCTATCACTCCAAGCCCTTGTAAAACGTCTTTTTCCATCCTTCTTGCAGGCTCCCTTCTGGTACTGGAAGATCACAGTTAGTTCACTCCAAAGACTTTTTTTCTCCAGGGTGAAAAATGCTCCACCCCTCATCCTGATGTTCCTCCTCTGTGCTGGCTCCAGCAGGTCCCTGTCCCTCCTGTGCAGGGACCCCAGCTCTGGATGCTCCAGCTGGGTCTCAGCAGAGCAGAGCAGAGGGGCAGAATCCCCTCCCTCCCCTGGATGCAGCCCAGGATACACAGCACGAAGATGTTAAGGCCTTTTGAGGAATCTGTAATGGTTATATGCTGTCACACAAAGGGCAAAATATAATGAAGGAAATGGTTTTACCACCATGCACTTTTTCGCACCGATTCTTTGACTTTCATGATAGCCAAGATTACTATTTGGTCAAAAGCAGATATTACCTCTAAAGGCTGTCCGGCTCAGTTAAAAATAGAAACATAAATTATAGCTTACTATTTCGTTGGTTCATAACCAACCTTTGTTTGCCTGCAATATCATGAACATGCTATCACCAGAAATTCATTCACTTTTGAATGAATGACATCAGACAGGGAGTTTATATTGACAAGCCTCTTAGAGCAGACTTAGATAATCTAAGTGATGCAGGGAAGTTATGCTCTTTTTCTGGAGTGTCCAGGTACAGCCAATCTTCTTCTGTCTCATTCTGCATGACTTTGAAGAAAGACACAAGAGGCAAAAAGTGAGAGGTAGAAAGAAAATAAGAAGACCATAGAACACAGTGTGTCCCCAAGGATCTCCTATCTTCTCTCCACACTTAAAATTACTGCATTTTTAAAATAATTATGTTATTTCATCCTTAAAGAAACCTGGAAGACAGTAGGCAAGAACAACTTCCTCATTCTTCACAGGTAAATCTAAAGTAATTTCTCTTGTCTAGACCAGCAGTCATCAGAAGGAATGAAAATTCAGGGAGCTATTTGAAACTGACACCAATATAAACATCACCTTTAGACACTCCTGGTTTTTCAAATCCAGGGTTGTTTTCTATTAAGTAGATATATATTTTTACTTGATGAATAACAAAATGGAGCAGCATTCATATTAATTTTTGTGGCTTTTCATTAACTTTACTTTCCTGGTATCACAGAAGATTGAGTAACTCTCCTCACCACCTTTCTCATGTTTTTCCTATTACCATTTTGCACTACCTTGGGCCAGAAAGCAAGAAGTGCAATTCAGGTCTGTGACCAGAAATACAGGGGGGTCAAGCTGTTCTTTGCTTCTTTACTTTACCAATCCATATTACACAGCAGTAAAACTTCACCAGCAGTCATGATTGGGGATTAAAAATTCCTACATTCCTCCCTTCATTTCCTATTCCTGGAAAGGAACCAACTTCTCTTAAACCACTGACCTGTGAAAGACAGAAACACATTCCTGTGTATTCTGCAGCTCTACTTGTATGCACCTCAGGCCTTAGGTCATGTAGGTAATCACTGATTCATCCCTACCAATACTATGCCTGTCTAAGTTCTGGTGCAGACTCAGATTCAAGGCCTCAAACATCAGAGAACCAATACAAAATCTATATATTTTTGGTGTGAAATAAATCAAAGAAATTATTTTACTAAATAAAGGAACTAATTTTGTAATTATGAGATGCCCTCATATATCTACCCTCTAGATATACTCTTCCCTTCCAGCATAGTGTATTAGTTTGTTTTCACAAAAGATATGATCCTGAGTATTACTGCACCAATATCTAAGCTATTTTTACTTCTACAAAAAAAAAAATCTTGCTGTTGATGACCTGTACTTCACTTTCAGAATAACTAAATGAAACTCTTTAAATAATCTGCTAACAATCACAGAAAATCTAGAAATCCTAAATTAAAACCATGGATTAGAGGGGAGTTATTTTATGCTGAAGACAGAATTCACATGGAATGAGAACATTTTATTAAAAATAATGCTGACTGCAAATCTTATCCCAAAATTCCTCAAGGATTCAAGTTTCAGCCTCACTGAACAGTTCTGGTTGGAGAAAAATTGAGGGGTAGAAAGGATCAATGGTGTCAAAAACATATCCCAGTAGTCATAAGGAATATTTAAGTTTTCAGAAAGGAACTCAGATGGGTGGCTCCTGTGGTGTTTTGATTGAGATGCTCTCATTTTGCATAATCTTTTCTTACAGAATTTTAAAAAGCCTGGCAGAAGGAAAGGCACACACCACTGGAAAATATCTGCTTAAAAAGATTCAGAAAGCAAATAGGCAGAAATCCAACAAAATTAGTACCATTCAGTCCACATGCTTGTTCCTTTTCCATCGGGATGGCTCGTCTTCTCCTTAAAGCATTTTGAAGGTTTTTTGCACCATAGATAATATGAGGATGGGATGTTCCCTCCTTGTGTGGATGCTTTTTAATGGGTTCAATGAAGTAATCCCCATGGGGCAGATGGAAGTATCCAGTCTGAAAATAAACACAAAAGAGTTAATCTCCTCTGTTCAGTACTAGAAGTCAAAAATATACTCTTCATACCACCAATCCCAAGCTTTCCTCATATGCCAGTGATTACACTGGAAAAATATGAACACAGCAGGTTTTCAGTATTTATTTTGCTGCATACATCTAGGCTGTTTCATATCTCACAGCCATTACAACCCAACGGGAAACAGAAAAAATATCTCCTTCCTAATAACCTGAAACTGAGGCAAAGACTCTCATATTTTTACAAAGCCACTAAAAGGTCAAAAGTTGATTTGCCAAACATGATGCATGAGGAAGAGCTGCATCTTGTTCTTCTGGTGTTTTGCATCCATTCCCCAGAGATCAAGACCAGAATAGAAGCTGTTTCATAAGCACAAATCGAAATTCTGCTCCCAGCTGCAGTCCCACAATCAATTACCAAACCCATCAGACGGGCTGGACTGTGTTTGACTCAGACTATAAACCCTCACTGGCGCCCAGGCCAACACCACAATGGAAGAAATAAGAAATTTTTTTGTGAATTAGCAAGCCATTAAGAACATCCAGTAGATCAGCTAACAAAGGCTGCAACACTTCACATGCTGAAATTTTTGTATCAGCCTCCCTGCTGTGCCTAAGCGACAGGGCCCTTGATACCCATCTGGGCTGTACAGGCTCCTTTTACTGGATCACTCTGCCATGATCCAGGACACACTTCCAACCAGGCATGGCCTTGGCCCATGCTGTGTCTCAGCATTTCGGCAGGGACTGCAAACACTGCAAAACCATTGTATCGCCCTTCCACATCAAGATATATGGAGCAGTATTAAATCTAAAAGCAAAGGATCTACTGACAACCCAGACCACACTGAGGATGTGACAGGAGGCTGGGGTATTCCAATCTCATGGCTTTGTTTCCTCTTCACTTTCTTGCTGTGGTCAGTGCACCCCTCTTAGCCTGTTCTGGAAGGGAAAAAAATGCAGTAACACTCTGTTCCTGCAGCTGCTGTATTCAAACACAGAATGACAGACAAATTTTAAAATCTTTTTAAATATTCCAAAGCCTCAGGGTTTCTCTGGATGGTTGGAAAAGTCAGCATGAGGCTAAGGACATGTGTATAAGTATATATATATGTACTTATAGTATAAGTAACTACTTACAATGAGACAAGAGGCAGCTCAGTGAGATACCTTCTGCCTCCACACTGATTGCCACAGGCCCAATACATCCCACAGCAAACTTGTACAAATAAATAACTGTGACTGTCATTTTGCAGTTTACCCAACAGTTCTGAAGATCAGAAATGTTTTCTTTCCAATGGAAGACAAAGTTTTAAAGCCTGAGGTTAGTGTTGGTTTGAAGCTGTGTTTATATCCCTAAAGCATCAAAGGTTCAGGACTCATATTCACATGTGTTTGTTCATCTGGGATAAGAGCTACTGCCTGTATGGGTTTTGTTCTATTTTTGAGAAAAAAGAGACCGAGACTCCTGATTACTAAACAACATACAAAAAATGTTTGTTTCTCTTTAAATCATAAATCAAGGAGTATGACCAGAGTCACCCTACAGAAGCAGCAGTTTTATCCATGTTCACATTGGATAAAACTGTAAGGAAGAGTGAACCCATACAGCAAGAATGCATCTACAGTGGTCAGACCATGAAATCTGTGATCTGGATTTCCTCATCCTGCTCAGGGAATCAATGCACCTTCACAAATCCTTGCCCATTCCTTTTCATTCCACAGGATTCAATCTTTGCTGGACATTTGTGATTTGTGACTGGATTATTTGATTATTTTGTAGGGTTTTAAGCCAGTTGGGAGCAGGAAGAACTAGCCATCATCACTTGCAGAGCCTGATTTTTTCAAGCAAGTGTCAATAGTCACTGGATTATTGTGTCAAGGTCTATCTGCAACGAAAAAGGCCAGATAATCCTATAAAAGGTGAAGCAATCCTATAAGTGGTAAACTCAAGCTCTCTCATCAGTGCTTGCATGTTAAAATTCAGCTGTCTATCCAAGCTGTATGGAGCAGGGAAAAGAGAAAAACTTCATTATATGAATGTGACTGTAAAAGCCCATTTCCAGCACACAGGGGCTCTTCAAAAGCTTCCAGAGACTTCCAGCACTTACTGAACTCTTGTTTTGCATTTGCACTTTCACCCTGCACAGGCTATCCACCAAGAAATTAAATGCTGACACTAACTGAGACCAAAGGAAAAAAAAAGACCAATCTTCACATTAAACTTACTTCAAAGCACTGAGGATTGGCAAAATTCCCTTTGCTGATTAAATACATCTTTAGTTTTGCTCTTCATAGTTTTTCTTTTCTGACTCACAAATACAACAGCAAGAATTTTTCATTTAAAGTCCAACAGATTTCAAGCTATGTAAGTACAATATAATTCTTTTCTGAGGAGTTTGTAGCTTTACCTGCTTTTGACTGCATTCACACAGCCTCAAAATACACAAAGGAGGGCAGTTACGAGAGCCTCATCAGAAAAAAGCCATTCGTATTTACATTTATGAAAGGGTTTAGTTATCACCACAGAAAAAAATGACTGCAGAGAAGTTTTCCACATTCCACATTTCCACATTGGTGTGTGTTTGTTTGGGGGAGGGTATGTGTTTCTCTCAAAGCCTACAGGTGAAAATCTACAAATCTACCACAGTAGTTTTTGTAAACTGTTGTTCTCCCCTCTTTCAAATATCACTCTTTGCCCTCAGATTCTGACATGCTGTGGCTGCAAATGTTTACCGTACTGTATTTGGGAGTGCTGCTACATCATTTAATGGGATTTTTAATTCATGTGCCTCATTATTTTGACACAACCAGCTCCCTGAACACATCACATCTCCTACATTGCATTTCACTCGCCAAAAGGATAATGATGATCCTAGGACACTTCTGACTTAAAGTTTTCAACCAACTGCTTTGATTTCATTAGATTCTACATTTTCCAGTGGAAAGCACATATTTTTCACATACTTCTTTTGGTCAAAAGCTTGGGGATTTATCAAAATACATTTCCTGGCATATTTTTTTCCAATCAGTTCCATGTGGGAAGCTGAAGCTGAGTCCTGTGGGAAAGGAAAGAGCAGCTTTACCCTTGGCTATGGTTTTGAAATTCTAATACTACCCCAGACATGAGAGCCTGGAATTAGTGGGTGTCAGTATAAAAAGGGAGGGAAAAACTACAAACTGTGGTCTACAGTTACAATAACTGAATCTGTTGATAATAATGAAAAAAAAAATCTGTAGTGAGAACAGTGAGTAACTCCTTGAAACCATACAATATTTCTGACAACAAATTTCATACAATATTTTTGAAAACAGGACAGTGACAGAATCTGAAAATACAGTGAGTTTAAGAAGCAACATTAAACAAAAAGAAGAGGGCAAGATCCTGGTTTTACCTTTAGGTACTTTGCTCCAGATGTTTATTATAACAGTAATACATGGTAAGAGAAATTAGGTTTGAATACAAGAATTAAAGAAAAAATTGTGGCATATGAACATGCATTACCAGAGAACTGCAGCTGCATACAATCTAAACTGAGCTGGTGAAGTAAATGATCTGTTAGCATTACACACACTAAATTTATTTTAGCTAATCACTTAGTTCCTTTCTGTATGTCCCTTTTTTCCCCAGGGATCTTCCTTTTTGAATTTCTCATCTGTTCCTATTTCAGCCAAAAGAAAAACCTAGCATCCAGATGAGATTTTTCATTACATCCTCAGACAGAGCTAGAAAAAAAAAAATACACCTGCCATGATGTCACTCAGAACAGAAAGAGGCTGGAGTTTTTAGGTACTGAGTAATTTGATTGGACTTTTATGAACACAACCCACAGAAGAGGAGAGCACTCTAACTCTTACACACTTGTACAGAAAAAAACTATTCTTTTAGCACGACCTAGTGAAGAAGGTGTTGTGATGGTGAAACACAGCCTTGTGGTTTAACACAGCTTTGGTCTGAAATTAAAATAGTTAAATTTTAGGACAAAGTAAGTAGAAGAACAGAATACTATCATTCCATGAGATTTTACTTTCTTTTGTCACACTTGCTATAATATTTTAGGCACCGCCAGAAAACTGGCCAGAGGTGCAGAGTTAAGCCCTAGACAATGTGGACCCAGAAAGTTCAGATACAGAGGACAGGGAGGAAAACAGTCAAATTTACAGCAAGATGGACTTTTTTGGAAGAAAATAAGGTATCTGGAGAGGAAGGATTTTCTGACATCCTCCAGTTCCCAGGTTCCTAAGGGACAGACATCAGTTCAGGATACTTCAGAGAGATGGGTCTTTCTGGCTGGGGTCATATCCCTCAGCAAAGGAGAGAAATCAAGTCTCTAGGGCCATGCCTATCAGCTACCATGCAACTATTTAAAATACACAATCACTCAGCTGAGAGACTTGGCAGAGAATCAATACTCTGGGTCATAGCACCAGCTTGATGGTGACCACATTCAACTTCATTTCTTTTTTTCACACTTCCTGAACGTAAGTTATCTAGGATAAATCTTAAGAAGCTAAGGCATTAAAAACCCCCAGCTTTTGTAAAAACATGTAAGAGAAGCAAACAGTTCAAAATATGTCTTCATTTGTCCCTCTGCTGTGCCACAGATACAGTTCATTAAATAATTTTGAACTGTGTGTCACTTCTGTGGACCCTGAACTCAATGCAAGCTTTGCATCTCACACAGAATCTGAAGCAGCCTAGGTACACTAATTTCTACTGAAGGAAATACTCTGTGAAATTAATCTTCTGTAGGGACTGCAGCATGCTCACTTGAAAATGTACAACTTGGAACACACCATTTTAAAAGACATCTTTTTTCATGCTTCATTCAGATCCTGGCATCCTCCACTACCATCTTTATTGTCCATCCTAGAAACATCTATTATTTCTTGAGTTTTGTGACTTTCCTTAAGAATAAACAGTCCACTTGTGAGTTCCCTGTTGCTGCAGCTTTCTACAATATTTGCACTGTAGAAATACC